AGGAGACCTTCAATCGGGCATTGCTGATATATCAGTGCCAATCAAACAACGGTATATCACCTTAGACCAGAATGAAGCAATTTTGGGGATTGAAGTTCGATTAGTTCGTTATTAGTCTCTTTCCGTTGACCTTTCAATAGCAACTGCATTGTTCTATTTTCTCACCCTTGTGTGTCTCTTTAATCTTGTCACATGACGAGATCTCTCTCGCCATTCTGGTATATAACAAACAAATATTTCCATAATAATGCGAAGTTACAGACGAGTGACTCGAAACATTTTATCCAGTTTATTCAATCTTCTTGCTTACACCCGAATCAAGATTCAAATCCTACCGTCTCTGTCCCAGACTATCATAGTTCTCGGATCTTTTTGTTGAGCGACAATACAAATTAATATTACTATGACTTATTCCGCCAATTTGAAGCTGTGACATTTTTGCAGCACCGCCCAGAATATTCCAAAGAATTAAAAGTCTGCTTGTAACCATGATTTTCTTTTTATTTCAGGTGAAAAATATGAACGACTCATTATCCGATACTTATTGTCCATGTTGCACTATTCTTGGCAAACCACAATCCAGGGTGAATTTTCTTATACTATCAGGTCTTCCAGAAAGTCCCATAAGCGGTCAAATTAAGTCAAAATTAACTAATAGTGAAAAATTTAATAATAATTTGGAAAAGTTAATTACTTATCGTAATTATTCCATAGCCAGTGATATGCAAAATCAGCTTAAAAAAATCTGCAATGAATTAACGGAAAATGATGGTGCATCTACTACACTTTCTTCTCCTATTGCATCGATTGTAAAAGTTGAAGGCAAAAAGGCGAGAACATGTTGTTATGGTATTAGAAACTTGATTCTTCCAGCAAATCAAGCATCGTATGTACAGTCACAGACAAATGTTCAAACTGGAATTTATAGTTATTACAGTATTAATGCATTTCTGTGGGATAAGCTGAAAGAAGACATCTTAGATGAGCTTAATCCAAAACCAGAAAATGAGGAAGAAGGTAATAGCTCAGCATTAAATACAAGATATCTGCGCTGTTAATCTGAAACAGAGTCTAGAAAATTACTTCAGAAAAAGGAATTAGTGGTTTACTTTCTTAAATCTCGCATTTTATAAAAAAGTTGCTGAAAAACGCAGAGGCTTACCTATTATTCATTTTATAGATAAAATCTCCCTGACTATGTTGCTGTTATTGTCTACACAGAAAAGATGCACCTTACGGTTCCTGCTGTTCCGTAGTCAAGGTCTTAAAGCATCAACGGATTAAAACAAGAGTTCAATTTTCTAGAAAACAGATCTTACGAACCTAGTGAAAATCTGCCCTAGATGAAATAACTCAAGGCTTTTTTTGGGGCAAAACCAAAACATTCATAAGTTTCTTAAGCCTAATTAAGAAAACGTTGCAACAAGATTCAGCATGTTCCAGTAATCCCCGAGATTTTCACTGATCATTCACAGAATCCTAGGATATCTTGTACCAGACCTCGCCATTTAAAAATCAAGATTTTACATCACTCGTACTTTGAAGGATACTTTAGACATATAAAAAGAGGATTGTATTCTTGTCTTATACCGTCAAGAGCGAAGTCTCGTGGTTTTTTCATAGATATTTTTGAAGTCTCAATGTTACAAAAGGTTTTGAATTCTATTTCGACTAGTTGGTAAATTATGATCTTAATTACCGAATGGCGAAAAGCGTAAAGTTTTATCGCTTCTATTGATAATCATTAACAGAAGAACCCCTAGCAAATTTTAAAATGGATAGCAGTAAATATAATGGTGATCAGACCAGGGCTTTCTAAGTTGGGGATATAAATTAGCACTTTTGCTTCGAGTTGTGTAAATAACTTCTTTATATTGATTTTGGAACAGTAGATAGAGTTTTTAGCCAAGTAAAGGGGTGGACACATTCACGGCAAGGGTCATTCACGGCGACCGTGAAGAAAACAAATCACGAAGAAATTATTTCTTCCATAATATGCAATCATTTTTAATGAACACAAAGTGCATGATATCAGTACGAAATATGAAAGCGATCTGGACTTGAGTTACGGCTTGATAATAGAAAAGAGGAATAGGAAAAGAAGAATCGCCTGACTTTGCCCCGCACCTATGTCGAAGAGCGACTTATCACAATGTCACCTCAAGATGTTGCTATGATGAGAAAGAACCTCATGAGAAGTGATTAACGGGATCTTTTCGATACTGAAAAGATAGAAGAAACAAGCAGATATGAACTGTATTTATAATAAATGCGAATTTGTAGCTCTGCTCTGATTTACCCGAGACTTGCAAAAAACAGTAAGCGCTGTTAAGTATACCAGTATATGGTTGACTAGAGACTAATAACGAACTAATCGAACTTCAATCCCCAAAATTGCTTCATTCTGGTCTAAGGTGATATACCGTTGTTTGATTGGCACTGATATATCAGCAATGCCCGATTGAAGGTCTCCTGATCTGTCTTTTGCTTTGTTCGCTCAAGGGGGGTTTCTATTATGAGGGGATCTTCTATTCTACGGGAATCTTCTAATGTGTCCATGGACCATGGCTTTACAACGTAACTGTGTACAGAAGAGTATCTTAATTCTCCACCGCTGGATACATTACTCATCAAACGACAGCCTTGTCAGATGAGCAAAGTGCCAGCCGAAGACCTAGTTATTGTTTGATTTCTGCACAAGATATGCTAGAGCTTTTATGACGAATGCGCTTAAGCTTCGACCATACATAGATCTCGTTTAAATAAAAAACCAGTGGACTTTTGTATTGTCTACTCTTACATTTTATTCTAGCTAAAAGCTGGGCTGAACCATGCAGTTGGATTTTCATATGTCATTCCTCTTCTTTGGAGTTACCTGTTATTGAGATGTTGGTTGAACTGAAACTAACGGGTGGCGCATAAATAAACGCACTCCCGTATTTTGAATATAACTCCGCCGGCTTTTATCCTATCGATCCAAATCTTTTTCCAAAAGATTCCTTATTGAATTCTCTACAAAACCATGCCATA